AATCACCGCCATTAGACTTGACAGCATCTCCACTACAAAACCCTGCCATTTTCAGTGGCCGTCGTCCAGCCATCGTCGCTCGCCGTCCACCTAAACTTCACGCGACCGTCAGAGTTCTTTTGTTGATTCCGGCGATTTCCAGCGCCGATGGAACTCTTTGGCACCATCGTCAGAGTCGCCGGCACCTACACATCAAAAGCCCTAAGATTCCAGCTTCGATTGGCCGTCGATCGTCGCTGCCGTCACCACTCACCAGAATCTTCGCATGACAGGGGTGTTTTAGATAGATTTTAAACTTTGAGGGAGATTATAGGGGTGTTTTTGATGAATTTTAAACCTTTAGGGACTAAAACAGAATTTTATAAATTACGGTCCAACCAACCGATCCAACCGGTCAAACCGAAAACCGGACCCTTGAACAGGTCATTGTCCGGTCCGGTTTTTAGAACATTGGTACCAATACTAGTGTGTATTTTTTAACTAACGGACAGAAATTTCAATAGATTAAATTCAAAATAACCCGATGAAAGGGTTGAGTGATTTAAAAAATTAAAATGTCCCATCGTTAATTGACAGTTTTGAAGTAAACCCTGTTGAATCCTGACTCAGACTAATTAAATATGAATTATGGGTCCAAAGCAACCCGCGTTAATTGAAGAATCATTGTCCATTTTCAAGACCAAGTCATGGCTCTCCCACGAGCCTCATGAATTGATTGAACTACCAATCCCCATGCAGCAAGTTAAATTTTCTTCGTTAGCTCTTAGTCAAAGTCATAGCTTTAACCTTACTATATTAACTAAAGTATTCTTCACGCAGTTTTGAAGATTCCCTAAGTCTTTATAAATTTCTAATTAATTTCTTGTTGATTATAAAATTAAATAGATGATAAAAAAAGTCATCACCAAACTCGTTAAAAAGTACCCATTAGACGTGATGTTGCATTTGTTTTGTTATTTTTTCCTATCATATTCAGTAACGGATCAATAAGTTTTTATTAAGGTGGACCAAAATAAAATGGAATAGTATATAATATTCATATTGTATGTTTTTAATTGAACTTGACATAAAAAGACAAAAAAATTACATATAAATATATTTTTTTTAAATTTGAGAGTCCGCCCCTGATCATATTCAACCTACCCAAAATACATATTTGTTTATTTATTCTCAAAATTCAATCTTATTATATTCAACTCAAAATATTTAGGTTTTTTTTAACCCTATAAGTTTGTTACTTTTAACTAAACACCCCCAATCGACCACATCCAGTGGTCGTGCACCATTCCGACTACTTCCAACCATCTTCTGATGGTGGTGGCCAGTTGCTGGCATTTAATGGATGGGTGAGAGTATTTTTGTTAATTTTAAAATTTTTATTGTAGGGGGTGTTTAACTAAATTAACAAATGTAGGAGATTAAAAAAATAATCTTAACAAACACATTTTCAAATTCAAATCTCATCCTCATAATAATAACTCAACTCAACTTTTTAAAAAATACTACTCAAAATAATAAAATAAACACAGCCGTAATTGTTTTTGCTTCTCTTATATGGGTGAATGTGACGCTTAATTAACAAAATCTCACTTGATGAATACACGGCTTAACCACTATTGGGTGATTTGATGGTAAAAGAACAAAAGAAGGTTTTATGAATTCTTGAGTTTGAGTCTCCATCTAGCCCTAATAGGGGTGGCTACTGAGAGACTTATCTGGTCGTCAACTTCAAAGCTCTAGAGGATTAGTTGAAATACGTGCAAACTATTCCGAACACCCTCTTCACTAAAAAAGAAAAAAAAAAAAAAAAGTACATAGCTTAGTGCTAGAAGAAGTTACGTTGTTTACCCCTTCACGATTTACACGAAAAATCTGTACATTTTGTGTTGCCCTTTTTATGGTTTAGTCAATTCAATTCCTATGCTTTTACCTTTTTGAAATTTTGATTAGCTTTTTTGCATAGCAAGAAAAATCAATTTCAATTTCAACGATGTATAGTATCAATTAAAGGACTTGAAATCCATTCCAGGAAACACAAACTATTTCCTGTTTCAAATATGATTTTGATAATCATCTAGTAAAAGTTTCATATTGAATTGTACAGTTTATCTCTCAATACATGTACGACTTGTCATTTGTGAGTTTTATTATTCACCGACTGGATGTATTAAGCTCGAAAGCTTGCACACTATGTGCATATTAATAGATCTAAGTCTTTGTAAATTACTAATTAATTTCTTGTTAATTATAAAATTAAATTGATGATCAAAAGGTCACCATCAACCTCGTTAAAAGGTTCCCATTATATGTGACGCTTAATTAACAAGTTAATTAACAAAACCCACTTTATGAGTACACAATTTAGCGGTAGACGAAAAAATTATGTGATTTACCCCTTCACGATTTACACGAAAATTATGTACAATTTCTATTACCAATTTCATGGATTAGTCAATTCAATTCCTATGCTTTTACCTTTTTGAAATTTTGATTAGCTTTTTTGCATAGCAAGAAAAATCACTTTCAATTTCCACGATGTATAATATCAATTAAAGGACTTGAAATCTATTACAGGAAATACAAGTATGATTGTGATAATCGTCTAGTAGAAGTTTTATATTGAATTGTACAATTTATCTCTTAACACATGTAGGACCTGTAATTTGTGAGTTTTATTATTTACCGACTGGATGTATTAAGCTCCAAAGCTTTAAGGAATTAATAATTACAGTATTAGTTTCTAACGACCCAATTCACTTGTGTTAATGGCTAGGACTTGGTCAGCATGATGCTAAACCACAAAAGAACTATCCAAGAAAAAAGATGATATCTTTCAGTAAAAATACATAAAACCCATTCTTACAAAACGGATTTGACCCTTTCAAAATGGGTATTTTCGTCTCTTGGGTGAATAATCATTCCCTTTGGAATAACACATGGAATGGACCATCTCACCTTTATTATGAGTTGATTAATTTAATTGAAGACTGGACTAAATAAATACATATATAGAACTAGGTTAAGACTTGAAGATTGACTTGACATCATCATCTCAGTCCCACTGGTAAAATAATGTTCCAAAGTGATCAATACGGCACACTATTTAGTCGTCTTGTACACTTTTCCTGGCCATCTCTTGGCATTTTCTTCATATCAAAAAATTCCTGCATCCCTCCAAGCTTCTATATATACCGCTCCCCATTTCACTTGCTCAATCACCTCTCAGTATTCAGTTTATCACTATAGCTATAGTTTTCTTCTCTTTAATTCTTAATATCTCTCCATCAAAATGTTGAGCTCTTTTGTGTCTTTCTTCAACAGAGATCAATTATCTTATCAAGTATTGGAGCACAGGGAACCTAAGCCTGCGAACTTCATATACAGAGATAGCTTGAACAAGAACAAGCAGCAGAAACCATCACCAAACCAACCAAAGGATGATGATTTTTGCTTCGCCAGTTCAAAACCAATTGAAGAGAAAGGGGTGATCAGAGTAAAAGTTACCATGACAAAGAAAGAGGCAGCTCGATTATTGTCCAAGTGTAAAGAGGGAGGAGTTCTTGGATTCAAAGATGTAACTAATGAGCTTGTTCAAATACCAATGAATCGTGTCAGTGTTGAGTCGACTCCTTGCGCAAGTAGTCATGCAGTCCTCAAGAGCATCCCCGAGTAATTTTGTTTTCCTTGTTCTTTTAAAAAAAAAAAAAAAAAAAAATTAATTAGAAATTAATCATCAGTGTAATAGCATTTGAGGTTTTATTTCAGAAACTAATGTAAAATTTATATTTTCTTTTTCATAATTAATACATGTAAATAAAGGATTTTATATGAGATAGATAAAATGAAAGCCTTTTAATTATATGTAAATAAAGCAAACACTCTATAGCAATATATATATATATATATATATTGGAAGGCTATTTACCTTATGTTGCAGGCATAAAAAACTTCTGATACCTCCTCTAGGCCGTATAATAGTGTAAACCAGGGCAATCCCGTCTCATCCATATCAGAAACCTAGTGATGTTTGCAAGACGTGGCTCAAATTGCGGGGCGCCCCCCACCCCCCCTCTGAAGTAATAAAAGATGAAACTCCAGCATCAGGTTAGTGTGATGAATCCTTCAAAGAAAATTTAACTGATACAAAATAATACATGTCAATAAAATCAAATCAACCACGCCAACTATTATTCCATCATCAAACATGCTCCAATTCCCCCTCTCAAACCCAACTTAAACGATGACCATACCATTGAATAAAGATGGCAGCTGCAACGGGCCTGGGCTCAGGGTCATGGGGTCGGGCCTGGGCCTGAGCCAAGGGGTACTTGGTCCCAACCTGGCCCATTGTCATCTCTACCATTGAACCACTCCTCTATAGGTGATAGCTAGATAGCTATATTAAATTAAACCTCAAAGGCAAAAACATAACGGAAGAGTAGGAAAATAGAATTTACACCATGAGTTATAATAGACTTGTCATAATCCCTATTTTTCTGAATGCTCATGAGAAGAGTTTCTGATATCCCTTTGTTTCCAAAATTAAATATGCGCATAGTGCCACCAAACTACTGTCTTTGCTCAAATATCATTGAAAAGTTAGCATTTACATTTACTTTTTATGATTTCCTACATTAGTTTAGCTGAAGCTGAAACTGAAGACTGCTGATGGCTTAAACTAAACTAAACACCTGATGGAAGATGTATCTAGTTACAAAGATAGTTATGATAAAGAAGTTTAATTGATTGACCAAAGTCACACCAGACAGACAGAGCCCATTGCCAACCTCCAACCTACCAGAAATTATTTAATGCTCATATTTATGAGCCTGAAAATTTTGACCTCAATTCTTTTCTTGATTTGAATATGCATATGATTTGAATCTCAAGAAACCATTTCAATCTCACCAAGTAAGATTCCTCTGGACTATCCATTTCATCAAAGATAAACAGAAGGCATATGAATAAAAAAAATAACATTATATTATGAAAATGTGTCATGTTTTTGCTGGATTATTGGTACAACTAGTACTTAATTACAATCAAGGGCTACAAGTACACGTAGATTACATCCCAAGTACAAATATTAGTCCAAAAAACCCTTAATTATGAAGTAATTATGGGTCATAAACCACATCTCAAAGTCTTAATTACTCACTTCTCAACCATTTTGGATCATCATCCAAGTCAAAAACCTCAGAGGACAAGAAAGAAGAAGATGATGAAAACCTCAAAGGAGAAAAGGGTAGTAGTCTAAGAAAAACCTGAAAAGGTATTTATATAACAAATTCAATAAGGAAAAATCTGAGAAAAAGGAGGAAAATTGGTTTAATAAAAGTTTCATCTATCCATCTCAAGAACTTCAGGGCCCTCCATTATACTCTCCAGAGAAGGTTTCCAAGCTTCAACTTTCCCTCTTTCTCTCCCAATTTCAGCCAAGACATCCTCTAATCTGTTCCCTTCATTTTTCTTCAGCTGAATCATCAACCACTGCAATTCCTCCTTTGTCAGAACTATCTTCACCTTTAAACCGCCACCACCGCCTTTAACACAATCCACACTCTCTTTCACAAACCCTTTTGTTCCCTCTTCTTGTAGCTGTTGCCTCGCCTCTTCCTCTCGCCTTTTACGGCCTCTCTGCATGCAATTTCCCATGTTTAATCAGAAAACTGGGTTTGGAAAATAAAAGAATTCTGTGAGAGGAAAGAGAAGCACAATATTCAGAGGTTTGGTATTGCATGTGAGGTTGTGGAGACAAGGATATTTATAAGCAAACCTAACAAAAGAGTTTACGTAGACTTTTTTTTTTCCTGGAGAACAAATACTGTAATTTTCTACTTAAGATAGTGACAAGCTTATGGTCCACATACGATTATAAAATCCATAGTTTATGCTTACGCCAACTTGGAGACCTTTGATGAGTCAGAGAATGATTCCTTCCCTTATTTAATGGAAGAAATTAAGACCAATGTGTGTTTACTGATACTTTATGTTCTGGTTCAAATTACTTAGTCGTTGCACGACTCTCCATTTGCCTTTGTATAAGATTTACCAATAATTTGTCGTTAGTCATGGTTATATGTTTTACTTGGTCTCCATGACTATGAGCTTGCGAAATTATTTGCATACGTTGACTGGTACTTGTCAATAAGATTAAATTTAGAACACAATTACTTCAGAGTCTTCTTGTATTTGCTTCTGTAAGCAGGAGAAGGTAGGTAGTTGTCATTTGTTACTACCCTTTTGTCTATTGGGTGAATGACAAGAAATTCAAAAGCAGAACACAAAACTATTAACAATGCGTAAGATGGAACCTTTAACATAACTTTTGTTGATGCTTGATTTTGACACAAATTATTCACACGTGAAAAGTGCTAAGTGAGCTTAGAAATCACACGTGGTATGGAAATGCTTAATTGAGTAAGGGGTGAAGAGCAATGTTTAAAGCAGTTCGGATGCTCAAGGGCAAATCCTACATCTACTGATATTGTATTAATGAGAGTAATGTCAGGTCGCATTCAGCGAGCTGAGTTATAGCTTTGAGAATACAAGAGAGAGAGAGAGAGAGTATATTATTCCAGAGTGAAATTAGTCAATCCCCGCACATGAGAGAGAAGACCTCTATTTATAGTAGGATGAATAAAAGTAATGATTACTAAATCTGCAAGTGGGGTGGATACCATACAAATCCTTCTTTGCGTCTCATTGCTCACCTGCCCGAGTGATTTCATTGACTTGTGCACGGATTGGATACGTGGACGATTCCCAACCATCCGCTGACCTGGCGTTCACCCACTGCACTAACAAGGGCATGCTACTCACGTCATCATGCGACGTGGCCGCGTCTAAATGGTTGTGAAACCTTCCTAAGTTCTGACCACCCCATGTTGACAAGACTCTGCGTCAACCCTACTTTTTTAAGCATAACAGAAGTCCCCTAGTTTTTAAGGTTTGAGAATCAAACCTTGAGAACTGCACAATTATGCCTTGACTTGCTATGCTCCGAACGACGTCTGATCGATCCGACCTGGCTGCAGGGTAGTGACTAGACATTTCCCTATGGGTGACTTGAAATGGTCTCCTTTCGCAAGGTCTACGACCTGGGTCAAACCCTATTCAGTGCCGCATTGATGCGCCTCTTATCTTAACCGAGGTTCGTGACCTGGTTATACTTAGCGCATTTTTGCTGAAGGCAAGGAGTCACATCGCTTCGCAACTGACATACGACGAAGAGTGTTCTGTCCTAACGACCTCTTCAGATGTTATCCATTACGCTTTGGCAACTAATCCATTAATGAAGTGCCTTTTACTCTGATAGACGTGTCCTATACGTAATAAGTGTTAGCCATGTGCATTAAATGTAAGTAATGCTGAAACGACATTCCTTATCAGAGCATTAAATGTGGATGAGAGTGCATTTAATGTGGAGGAGGGAAACGAGCCATCGCTCGATTATTTCAATGGAGAGAAGCGATGATTGGGTTTCTCAAAGCATGACGGTTACTTCTTCCTGCTGATTAACGACACATGGTCGCAATCAACAACGAGAGATGATTTCCATCCAACCGTTGCTTGGCTTCGGGAAAATCAATCACCACTTCCTCCACTGTAAAATCCCAGCTCACCTTAAGAAATGTCACAACTTTCACTTATTCAGAAATAGTAAGAAGTTTTTGTGAGATCAAATTTCCCATCCTTCAAGTTGGTGCGCGGTTGATGTTTACTGCAGAAAGTTCAATCCCCATACTCAAGAGGTAAGAAAGATCCTTCCATTATTTTCCTTTTTCTATTTTGGCAATAATAACGGTGGGCGTTTGTGGGCGGTTGAATGGAAAATAGGCTTTCCTCTAGGGTTTGAATCTTTGGGGGAGGTCTCCAAGGATTCTTAGGGTTTTTCTAGGGTTTAAGAAAGACACGATGTTTATCCTTTCTTCCACGTCATCATACAAAACTTTGTACGACGACTGAGTAATTCCTACATGTCACTCTTTTTCAGACCGTAGAAGAAATGAACCCTTCAACGACCAGGACAGACGAGGGAACAAGCTCATCGGTGCAGGACGCCCCAGCGGGTCCTTCACAGGAAATCCTGTCGATAGCCACAAGAGAGGAAATTCAAAAAGCGGTCGACCAATACACAATTAGCGTAGATGTCTACCAGCATTGGACATATACAGCTCGGAATCCGGCATAGGGAATGGCTGTGATCTCTAAGAACAAATTCAAATGTGGAGCACTGATTCCCTTTCATCCTTCCATAAGGTCGATCCTTGATCACTTTGGGGTCACACCTTTACAGCTGATGTCAAATGCATATATAATAGTCGTGGCTATGTATATTGCATGCGGCGAGAACGGTCTTGGCGAGCTAACTGCGCTAGAGCTCGGCTGCTCGTATTACTTAAAGAAGAGCAAAGACAATGACTATTTTTACCTCTTGAAGCGATCTACGATCGAGGGAGGGATACATAGTTACCCCAGTAACGTTAGGTGTATGAGACGAAAGTTTCTTTTTCCATTACGATGGCATTTGACATTTTAGGGAGTCGAGTAGGTCTTTCTTTCTTTCTTTTACTTGGTGAATTTTCTTTCTTTTAATCTTTGCTAACGAACTCTTCCATTTCTTCGTAATAAACAAGATGACCAGGTTGCCAACTCTCGTTGACTTCAACAGAATAACTGCCTTCGATCTTTTGCCCGAACAGAGTCACGAAGCAAGCCTGCTCTTGACAACCGTCAACTTGCAAAAATATGACTTTTTCAACCCCGAAGTGACCTTGGAATCTATATCGAGTAAGTGTCTGTAACCTTAGTCAATCTTATTATTTGCATGTAACGAACTGTTTTGCTAACGATATTCGCATGCAGCAACCATGCCACCTAAAGTGCCCAAGTCGCTGAGAGCTAAGGAGTTCACCTTTCATTAGGTCGGTGCCATGGGACCAGCCGGGGCACCCCCTAATAGTCTTCTCGTTGGAGGAATGTCGGCAGGGGTGCCGACTCAGCCAGCGGACGCTTCAAAACCTGCGACTTCTTGTCCTAAGTAGAAGACTATGACCCAGAAATCCAAGAAAAGGAAGCAACTTTGGGTCGAGGAGTCAGAGTCTAAGCTGGAGGGTTTAGGCATGCAGCTCGGGAGGTCGCAACCTTACTAGGCCTTCTACTCGAGAGGGTACCCCAAGGGCACGACCGACATTACACTTGCCCTTGAGGGTCCACTCAGGGGGCAAGGGAAGGTCACGGCTCCTGGAAAGAGAGCAAGCAAGGAGCCACTGGGTGAGACGCCACCTACTGCGAGAACGAGCATGCCTGTCCTAGATTCTATAGGACAACTCCTGCAGCACTTGCAGCCAGTGATGTTCACCCTGCTGGAGTGCCAACTCGCGGAGGCTTTTGAGCAGTTCATGGCCTCTAACCCCGTGGACTTGATGACCATGGCGTTTCAGCTACAAAGACAGGTAAGAGGGTTTGTCCTCCTCGATGACTCTTTTATATTTCCCTTACCTTTTTAGTGAAAAGGAATTTAACCCCCTGTTCCCTTTGTTGTGTAGTCTTTGCTCGCCATACACTTGGCCTAGCAGAAGACTCAATTGGGAGCTGCTGAGGGGCTCGTCGAGCTGAGAGAATAGAACGTGCGGCTGAAACGAGACTTAGAGGCTACACAGATACATATGAACCTATCCACCATTCAGACGAACCAATATTTTTTAGAGAGGAATGCCGCACTCAGCACGATGGATTTTCAGAAGGCCGAGCTAGAGAAGAGGGGAGAGAAGGTCAAAGAGCTTCAAAGGACAGTGACTAGACTCACCAACGAGGTTCGCGAGAAAGAGTTGAAGCTACGAGTGAATTCCGAGCGGGGCTTGCGAGCAAAATAGGACAGGGCACAATTGTGGGAAACCTCCGAGAAATAGAGGTGGGCACTTGAAGCAGAACTCCAATTGTCCTAGGGACGTGTCACTTCGTTAACCGAAGAGATGAAACGACAAGAGCTGAAAATCGAGAGGAGAGCCGCCGACTAGTCGATCCAGTCCATCTACGCCCTACGACCGAAGAATCTGAACATAGACCTCATCAACCTCCCGGATGACTACCAGAGGATCCTCGCTTCCATGGGGCAGGCCGATGAAGAGGAGAAAGGTCAAGGGTCTGGTCCAGAGGACGAGCATCCGGAGGAGTATGTTCTGGAGAAACCAGCGGGTGACCAGGTGGTTGGTGACCAAGTTGGAGATACTGAGGTCGCACATTTGGGGCCTAGGAACGAAGGCCAGTGATGGTTTCTGCTTCTGCTTTCCATAATTGTTCCTCTACTCGCATATCTGTATTTGTTTTTAATTTATGATAAATAAAGAGACTATTTCCTTAATTATTCATGAGTACTTATAATTTTTCGTACATCACAAGTATTAAACATGTGGACACCAGGTCGTTTTCTAACTATTTGCTATAGTATTTGTACAAATGATACATATATGAATAGAAAGGCACACATGCGAGAAATAATATTACATAAGAGTTATCTTATTTACAAGGCTTAAAAAGAGCAAATCTTTACAAGGAATTTAGAAAATGAGTTCAGAATTACTGATAATAGGGGCGAAGATATTTAGCATTCTAAGCTCGCGGTACCTCGGAACTGTTGAGCCTTTCAAGGCGATAAGTCCACGGTCATATCACTTTAGCAACGTGGTATGGGCCTTTCCAATTTGGCCCCAATACTCCCGCACTCGGTTCTCTTGTACTGAGAATGACTT